TAAAGCGTGACGTAAATGTAGGGCTTTTTATTAAAAAAAGAATTATTCAAAAATATGCTGTAATTGCTGACATCTTAGACAACAAAGAAGTGTGTTTACGCTTCTTTGTAATAGTATAGATAAAATAAAAACGAAATCTTATCATTGTTTTTATTTAAAACTGAATATACATAATGTAATAAGTAAGTATTCGGTACAAATTGTTTGATAATTACTCCAGTTTATCTGTAACCTTAGGTCACGGTAGACTGACAGCTAATATGTGTGGACTATTGTACTGTTTCTCTTAATTATACAACAATAATATTCGTCATATTAGCTACATACGTTTTATCTTACTAATATTATAAATGCGAAAGTTTGGATGGATGTTTGCTAGAGTTTGTAGCCTTAACGGAATTCGATGAAATTTGGCATAGATATAGAGCATAGTCTGGAAGAACACATAGGCTTTACATTTGTTTTTTTTTTTTAATTCCACGAGGACGGAGTCGCGGGCAAAAGTACCATATAAAAATGTCAGATGAGTGTAAAAGCGGGTGTACTTTCGACTAAATCGCACAATCAACTTCGATCGAACTAACGATTACTTTTGACTTCCAAACATTCATTATTCAATAACTGTAAACACGCTCAATTGAAGGAATGCTCATTTCCTACGTTTTATTAGGAAAATGGCAACGAAGGTTAGTATTTAATCGGTTTTCTTGCATAATTAAAAACATTACTAATCCAATAAAATCGCCATTGTATTATTTGTTCCAAAACATATCGATTAAAATTAGACAACGCTTCGTTATTTCGGCGAATCTAAATGTTTGACGCTTTTCCATGCAAGTGGCGAGACAATTCGTGCAAGATATGGGCTCTACAATTGTTAGATACCTAAATAGGTTACTTTAAGAATATTGACTGTTGATAAAATTCCTATTTTCAAATTAATCTATACCATTATAATATAGCGTAAACACACACTTCTTTGTTGCCTAAGGCAGCAATTACAGCATATTTTTGAATAATTCTTTTTTTTATAAAAAGCCCTACACTTACGTCACGCTTTAGGCTATATATTTTCACGCCATTGAACTTAGGGCGTAAATGTTTTGGATAAAAACCCTAATGTGGAAAAGAAACGTTAAGTTGCTGCCAACCTCAAGAAAGCAAGATTGGCAAGGTTTGTCAAGTCATGTAAATTTGACATTTGCTATTGATAATATGACAAATGTAAACAATAAAATAAAATTTTCATAATTTCACGCGGATGAAGCCGCACGGGAACAGCTAGTTGCGTAATAATTTGAAAAAATTAAGACCTTTCTAAATAAATTTATATTTACTTAACGCGACCTTCTTAGTTAGCCGAGCACGACTCGAGAAAACAGTCTTTTGTTAAAGCGAACTAAACGCATTGTTTTCTTAATAAAATTTGCTCCATTGATAGTTTAATTTAAGATAACTTCGTATGCTATGTAAATACGACATGTTTTGATTTTAAGCCATTGAAATCCTAAAGAATACATCGAAGATATGATAATGTTATGAACGTCACTTTAGTTAATTTATTAAAGAGAGTAGTAAGTAAATTCACATTATGTCGAAATATCCTTTAAAAAAATCAAAATAATTGTTTTCTAAAGAGCATGTATTCAGTTAAAAACACTAATCTATAAAAAAACAGACGGATTGATAACATCCTTTCTTTAGGAACTCGTAAAAAGAGGTAAGTAAAAAATTTTGTAACTAAACGTTTAACAAAAGAATAAGCGATTGTAATTTGTAACAACACTTTCTTTTATTGCCTAACAATTTTTGTGCGCATCGTGATCTTGAACTTTGGTCTATAGAGTGTTTATAATATTGCGAAGTAGGAGAAAGTTGCTAGACTGTCTATTAACGTGAAATAGTAACTTTTACGAAATACTATAGAATCACAAAATACAAATGTTCAGAATCAGGAAAAACACTGTTTAATTATTTACAACAATTAACTAAATAATGTAAAAAATAACATTTTTAAACGTTTTTAATTTTTTGTTCATTTCATTCATTAAAAAAAAATAAGCAATTTAAAATGATTACAATCTCAAATCAAAATAATTATAATTTAATCCTAAAAAAAAAAAAACCAAAAACACTGGCAACTCACAATAACAGCGTCGATATTCATAATTCAAATTAAAAAAATGTAAAAAAAACGTAATTCTAAATTCAAAAAACTTTCTTCGTAACTTACTTCAAACTAGTTTGTACCGTGGCCGACATATTCCCGCGCACTACCGACACGACACGCAATGCAACGCTGACTGAATTACCGACTTTGTCGCTATTGCTGCGCGTAGTGCGATAAAAGTTAAAATATATTCATAGAGCTGCACTAAAGATTAATTTCAAAGCATTAGTTTTAGTACTCTTACTTTTACTCTTAGTTTTAGTACTTGAAATCAGTATTTTATCAAAGTATTCATATTCATTTTATATTTTCAGTGTTTTGCATATTCTTTTTTTTTAATTAAAACCAAAGAAACGAATTTAATTAAAGTGAATTGTGTATTGGTTGTTTAATTTCTTATACATACTAAATTGTTGCTTGACAAAAAAGGTGAAAAAAATACATTTAGAATCGCTTCTTTTTTAAAGTCAAGTAAAAATAAGTACAAGTTACAAAACTCTTATAAGAACGGTCCCTTTGTTATTACATAATGTTTACTTTGAAACTAATTTTTATTTACTCTTTTAGTTTTTGGCGTTTAAAAATCTCGCAGCTCTAGTGATGTCCGATGTAACTATTGACAAAAGAAACTTGTCCTCAGAAGCGAGAGTCGTGGGAAGAACATTTTGCCATCTTTTGTTACCAATTCTTCTTTTCTGTGATTGTTGAAGTGAAGGTGTTATATGATATCATTCATTAACAAATCTTGAATGATATTTGTTATTAAAAAATGCGTTCCAAATTTAAAACGTGCGTTTTGCGCCATATTGTGACGTCATCTGTCAAATCTGAAAAGTAAGGTTATTAAATGTATGATTTTAGTTGCGATTTTGTAAAATCTTTCCTTCTTCGTTCTTTATTGTATTTTGTATATTGTCATCTCTTTCTAGCATTTTAACATTAAGGCATTGTTAACTGTTGTGCGTTTGTCGATTGTTTCGCAGCTAATTCAACTGTTTAGTTGTACAACTAACAATCGAGTAGTGTGCGCACCTCCATATAATCTCATTGGAATCAAAGCGCGACTAAACAGTTATGCGATAGTTTACTCAAAGGTATTCACGTGCTCTAAGGCCGTGGTCAAAAACTTGCACGAGCGACGCGCGGAGCACAGTGGGGTATTATCTCGGCTTACATAGACATTTTCATCTGATGTCTTGAATGTCTGCAAACCGAGATTTTAGCCCACTGTGCTTAGCCCCGCTCTTCGCCTGACCGCGACCTTAAAGCGCTTTAAACCTTTACTAAACTATCGCAAAACTGTTTAGTCGCGCTTTGATTCCTATGAGCATATATGGATGTGCGTACACTCGATTGTTAGTTGTGCAACTAAACAGTTGAACTGTGAAATAATCTACAATCGTAACAGTTGTGCGATAGTTTTGTTGCTACATTATATAGATAAAAAAAGATTGTAACTAATGTAATTTTGTATATACCTTTTAATTGTAATGCTTGCTACAGAAGCGGCTGTTCGTGATAAGTCACGTATTGCACTAACGCCTCTTGCTGTAGTACATACACTGTGTTGTATACCAAATACAACAAATATATATTGTACACTGAAACACAGACAGGAAACAGTAGTATTAGTATCGAGAAAATTGGAATATTAAATGTTTTCGTGTAGCCCTGTCTATTGTTATATATGTTTATCGGTTTTTTGTGTATACTCAGGGAACATTTTGAAAGGAAACGGGGAAAAACTCAATTGAACGCTGCATATAAATGTGTCTCTTTAAAAGTTAGTTTGTTAAGGCTTGTTTTTGACCGACTTCCCAAAAGAAGGAGGTACTCAATTTGTCTGTATGTTTTTTTATGTGTGTTACGGCATAACTCCGCCGCTAGTGGACCGATTTTGATAATTCTTTTTTTATCCGAAAGGTAATGCTTGCAGGTGGGTCCCAATTTTATGTTTGATTTTTGGAGTCTAAGACTACGACGTAGTATAGTTTAGTCAAAATCGCGCGATGAAATTTCGGATCATTTTTGCTTTCTTTGCTTATTATTATTATTATTATCCCTTCGTTTGCTCACTGCTATCTAATTAGTATTTGTAAGAAGAGGTGTAGTTTGTCTCGTTGCAATAAACAAGGCATTCCTTAAGTGGAATACCGCGAATTATCGCGACTGTACATTTTAGTGTCATTTTAAAATATGAAAAGATACGACTCTACAATTATGTACTAACTGTTGCCCGTGACTTCGTCTACGCAATGTTAACATAAAAAGGTAGCCTATAACATGCCCGTCTATGTCAGCTAACGTACAATGAAATTCCGGTCGAAACCGGCCCAGCCATTTCGGAGATTACCCGGCACAAACGTAGCTTGCGTACTGACAGACAGATGAACAGACAAAAATTATTTTAATGAGATTTTCGTTATCAGCAACTCAATATTCATCTTCCCGAATCAATCATTCAATCTGGAATTTCTATTGATAGTACAAACAGACAGTCCAATTTTATTATATGTTTAAAGAATTAGTATAATCTGTGCTCCTTACATTTAGATCACAATGAACCCTAAAACAAATTTCACAATGCAATCTGATTAAGCTTTCTTCGATGTTTTATAAATTCGGAATTCTAATTACACCTTATCTTTACATTTAGACAAAGGATCCTATTTAAACAAGATATTTGAATGGTGAATCATACCATCAATAACAGTGGGAAAATATATGTCAAAGCATATGAATAGAATAGCAAAAATCTAGCTGATAGCTGAATTACGTCATAGTGGTTCTTTATGTGAAAATTTAGAGCGCAAACACTTGAAATTAAACTATTCCATTACTGTTAAATCTCGCTTTCATTATATGGATGCACAGTATTCGATTTTTAGTTGTGCAGTAAACAGTTGAATTGGCTGCAAAACAATCGACAATCGCCTAACAGTTGTGCGATAGTTCAAGTCATAGGTTAGGGCCCGCTCTTAATGATAATGTAAATACTCCACGTAATTAACAGTGCATGAGCGTCGGTGGCTCAGTGG